AGCTGCATTAACTGATGCTCGTGCAGTTCCACTGATTGGCTGTTGGTGGCAGTGACTGCAAAGACAGTGAAGAAGAAGACTGCTAGCTAGCAAACCTAAATGTAATTGAAAATGTTTTTATTTTCATGAGTAAGTGAATGCATTCAACACATTTGTGAGGCATCAAAGATACACAGTTTTTTGGTGGAGTCCAAGTCCAAGGTAAGGTCTCTAAATGTCTTGTTTTGTCCGACCAACTGTCCTTAACCCAGAGACATTCAGTTTACTAGAACAGAAGAGAAAGAAAACCTGAAAATATTCACATTCAGAAAGCTCAAATTAATTAATATTAATATTTATTTATAAATATAACTCAATCTTAAAATTAAAAGTGATTAATCACTCATCAAAGTGGACTGAATGTTTTTCCATAGGTACAACTGTCACCAGCTGGGACATGTATGACACGTTGTGCGGCCCTGAGCAGGATGTCACGGTGCAGAAGCCTGACCCGGTACAGAATGACTATCCAGAGGCTGCTGCTGTGGACACCAGCAGAGCTGCAGAGAGGAGCGTGTCAGTTGGCAGCACAGCCAGTACAGGTAACAGCCAGAGATACTGTCAGGATTCACATTATGATTTACAACAACAGGTACAGGTGTGTGTTATTGTCTTGTATCCCTCCTCAGCCAGTGCTGAAAGCTCACTGAAAGAAATGGAGGTGTTAGGGAGTTTAAATGCTGAGTCAGACCTGCAGCTCATCATGCTGTCAGTGAGATTCCAGCAGAGCTTACTGGTCATGGAGAGGAGCATCCTGGGAAACACCTTCCAACCTCAGCTGGCTGCTTACAGACAGCTGCCTGTGCGAGAAGGTAACACACACTCACACTCACAGGTGAATCAACATGCAATTTACACACATTACCCCCCCAACCTTGTGTGATTGTGATGAATGATTATGTCAGACCCAGACAGACCCATGGGGCAGAGAGACAAGGACACAGAGAGCTGCAGAGCTCCGGCTCTGGAGTGTCTGTGGTCTTTCAGCTGTGAGCTCAGCAGAGGACGCAGTGTCAGCAGCATGGCCTGGAACAGGAAGAACCCGGTAACACACACTGCTGTGTATCTGTCTGTCTGTCAGTCTATGAAAAATAGCACAACAGATTTTTTGGGGTCATTTTATATCTTTTTGGACAGTGTAGAGAGACGGGGAGTTGAGGGACATTGAGAAGTGAAATGACATGCAGCAAAGAGTCTGGCCCACAGGGAGTCAAACCGGGGACGCGCTGCTCAGAGCGTCTGTGCTCAGGTGGTATACAGCCTAACCACCTGGCTATCAGGTCAGCCCGCCTACCCTCTGAGCTTTGACTGGTCACTTGTTTCTTCATCCTGGGCAAAAAGCCAATACTGAGCAACCCAGACGTATTTGAATCTGAAATTTGTGTTGCTAATCAGAAGTGTGGAACCTGGGTAATCTAGTGACACATACAGAGGAGGTTAACTGAATTTTCAATTGCAGTGCTGAAAGCATTTAAAAATGTCTTTCCACAGTGTCTTAGTTGTAAATCCCAGAAAACATTTTCAGTAGTTTTTATTAAAAGTACTTTGTACGGAAAATAAAACTGTTGTCAGTGATGTCTGTGGATCCAGAGTAACTGAGACAACATGGTTCTTCAGTTTTTCAGATGTCATTGTGTGAATACTTTCAGCAGCACAAACTGAATTCTGTTCAGATACTATTACAGGAAAGTGTGATGCCAAACATACTGTATAATATAATAATATTTTCATTATTTTAACATATGTATCAATAAAATCGTCTGGCATGAATTGCAAATGAATCACTGGCAGCGGGAGCAGGGTAGGCTCTCGGTGACATTATTATTACAAACATTTACACTTTTATTTCTTTGTTCGAAAAGTTATAAACTAAGAATGAATTCTCTCAAATAAGAGAAATGTGACATAAAGAAACGTCTTCCTGTGCTCTCTCTGTCAGGACCTCCTGGCTGTGGGCTATGGTGAATCTGACTCCACTAACCAGAGACCAGGTCTAGTGTGCTGCTGGTCCTTCAAAAATCCCACAGTAAGACTTGATTTGACCTTTATTTACTTTCCCAGACTTCCAGACTTTGTTGAGTTGAGTTCATGTGGGAGCTCCAGCTGTAGTCATGTGTCTCCTCTGCAGTGGCCTGAGCGAGTCCTCCTCTGTGACAGCGCCGTGACGTCTCTGGACTTCTCAGCCAAGAGCCCCGGGCAGCTGGCTGTGGGACTGCATGACGGCACCGTCAACATCTACAACGTGCAGAGTCAAGACGACAGGTCGCATGTCTTCAGCAGCAGATGAGGACTGAGTGTGTGTGTGTGTGTGTGTGTGTATGTGACAGTGCAGCTCTGACATGAAATAACACCTTCCGAAAAATGGGACGGACGGACAAGCTGAAAACATAATGCCTCTGGCTCTGACTGTTGGCGGTGTGGAGGATGATGTTTCACACAGTATTGCTCTTTATGTCTTTGTGTGTGTGTCTCTGAGCAGTGAGTGTCCCAACAAGCACCTGGGCCCAGTGTGGCAGCTCAGGTGGACTCAACAGGAGCTGAGCCTGACAGGAGAGGAGAAGACCGAGGCTCTGTTCTCTGTGTGTGCAGACGGCAGGATCAGCAAGTGGTTTGTCTTCAACAACGGCCTTGACTGCACAGGTGGTTACAGTCAGGAGTGATTCTGTCAATATGCCTGATTGGATTTATTTAACTTCATTTTAAAAAATATGATTAAACATTTTGTCTTGTTGGAACTACAACGGTATAAGTTTAATATTTAAAGATGCTCTGAGAATGTGCTTGTATTTAATCAGGGGTGGACAGTAACAAAGTACATTTACTTGAGTACTGTGCTTCAGTTTGTTTTCCAGTATCTGTTCATTACTTGAGTATTAATTCTTTGTAAACTACTGACTTTTAGGCTGCTACACTTAAAAGACAAATATGTAGTTTTGACTCCACTACATTTCTATGAAGGGCTCTTACTTTGAAGCAGAGCTTTTAGTCAGTGAATTAATTTTCTTTTACTTTGAAAAATGTGATAGATAATACACTGTGTTCATCACAGGAAAGAACCAAACCAAGAACCAGTAGATTCTGTAAATGTGGAACAATACAACAGTGTGTTGACATAAAAAAAATACTTTTGAATACTTCACTATTTTTAAAATCAAGTACTGCAGTACTTTAACTCAAGTAAAAACTTCATATATGTATTGGAGTCATGTCTGATCAGCAGGATCTATACTCTCACTCCAGCTGTGTCCACCTCTGTATCTTACTGTAAAAACATATAACATTACTACTGTGAATCTTTTGTCACAGATGTGATGAAGCTGAAGAGGATTCATAACACAAGGAAGAACAATAAAGGACAGAGGACAGAAAGTGTTCTGTCAGCACTGACTCCTGGTCTGTGTGTTGACTTCCATCCAACAGTAAGTTTATAACAGAGTCAGACTCCAGGCTGGTCCCAGCTGAGTGTCGTGGGCTGATGCAGGACAGTTACACTGGTTTTACAGCTTGTGTGTTTTTATTGTTGCTCGTCCTCCCTGCAGGACTCCAGTCTCTACCTGGCCGGTACGGGGGAAGGTCTCATCCACAAGTGCTCCTGCTCCAACAGTCAGCAGTTCCTGGAGACTTTCAGGGAACACTTTGTGAGTCCTTCAGAATAAAAGCCTCCACACACCCTCTGATGAGGCTGCTTTAAAGACCTAATTATTCCACACTAACCTCAGAAGCTTATATTCATCTCTTCAGGTGTGAGCTTGTAAATCCATTAAGTCTCTATCCCACAATGCATTGCTCACTGGCCCTTCAGCTGTTGTGATGTTACTGCTTTTTATTAGACTCTGTTTACGGCTCACCTTTAGAGTCAGCTTCTTTATGACTTCTTTTATTTATACTATCACATGTGCACAATGATAACACAGGGGTCACATGATGGTCACATGATGGTCAGATGATACACTTGCATGTCAAATTCCCATGTTGGTAAGAACCTGAAACTCTGCTCATGTTGAGCAAAGGAAAAGGATTGTTGTTGCAGTGAATGTAAATGTGTAGAAAGGAGCAGCTCCATGCTGAGGTCGGATAGTTTGACTTGTTGCTGATGCTATTGCTGCAGTGGGTCTGTGTCTGAGTGATCACAGAGAACCTCAGTAACACTGAGGTGTTGTTCCGCCTCAGGGTCCTGTGAACCAGATTGCGTGGTGTCCACACAGTCCTGATGTGTTCCTGAGCTGCTCCTCTGATTGGACCATCCAGCTTTGGAAGCAGGACCACCTCAACCCTGTGTTAGGCTTCACCTCCGCCCAGAGGGCAGTGTGCGATGTCCAGTGGTCCCCAAAGTGGGCAACAGTGTTCGGAGCCGTGAATGAGGGACAGCTGGAGATCTGGGACCTGAACTGGAGCATGTGAGTGGGACTGAGGACAGAACCTGTCTATGGAATTTCACCCGGTCTGTCTCTCTGATGTGTCCTGTGTCTCTCCTTCAGTCTGGACCCGGTCTCTGTGCAGCCGGCTGCTGCCGGTGTGAAGATGACGTCCCTGTTGTTTGCCACACAAACAGAATGTGTCCTGGTCGGAGACAGTGATGGACAAGTGACAGTCTACCAGCTGAAGAACCTCAGTGTGGGAGACAGCAGCCAGGTAACACTGTGGAGCAGGTGGACAGGTACAGGGTGTAGGTGTGTCAGGGAACTGAGGGAGACACTGTGACCAGAGGGAGGCAGAAGTGCTCTGTGCTACATCTGTAGTTCATACAGAAGCGGATGTTGCCTCTGACTCTTATTCTGCAGATGCACAACAGTTCATTTTATTTGTTGATATAATGGCTGGGAATCTTTGTTAATGACTTAAATCTTCTCCCAGTAATAATGAAAACATGTTTGTTGTAGCTGTAATTGTGTTCTAAAATAAGTTTGTCCACATCAGACACATGGAAATAAAAACAATAATAATAATAATAATAATAATAATAATAACTTTATTTATCTTACAAAGCACTTTGACAATCGAGGCAGAAGCAATAATGGCAAGAGGCTCAAAGACAGAAATAAGGTGAAGTTAAGAGGGAGACATACAATATACTTCAATGTAAGTAAGGACAGTCAGAGAGAGTAGATGCTGCATAAAAGCAATAGAAGCAAAAACTATAAAAGCAATAGAAGAACGATAAAAAGATGACATCACAGAAAAGGAAGTCTATTAAAAAAAGTGTTTCAAAAGAAGTCACTGATCCTTCCTTATCTCCAGAGTCAAGGGGTCCTGATGGAGCACAGTCACCTTTAGATTTAAGCCTCGACTTTAGAAGGGTCCTGGCCGAGGGTCTAAGGCTGTGAACTGGCTCGTATGGGTTAATAATTCTGTGATGTAGCTCGAGGTCCCAGCGCGCTTTACAAGTGATCAGTAAAATCAATTCTAAAACCAACAAGGAGCCAATGGAGTGAAGCGAGGATCAAGTGATGTGATGTTGTCTGATAAACCAGTGAGAAGCTGCTGGATTCTGAACTAGTTGGAGGAGGGAGAGAGACTTCTGGTTTATGCATCAGAGAGGAGGGAGTTGCAGTTCAACAGCATCTGCCCTTGAAAAAAATATTTGGGGAAATAGCTGACAAATGCAGGCAGAAAGAGGAAACAGAGGAGCTTTGAGACTGGTCCACACTGGTGCTCATACATTTAAAGTATCAATAAAATGCTTGATTTATTTTTTTTTCTGAGGCCCAGAGCAACTGGGGGACAAATGCAAAAGTTTTAATGCACCAACGAACTACCTCTAATTTAAATTAGCTTGTTCTCTGGTCACTTAAAATATAGCCAAAGGTTCATTAAGGTAAAGAACTGGTCACAGCTCTGTCTGTTACAGCCATGTCATCCTTGGCTGTTACAGGCAGCTCTGCCAGCTGGAGACACTGGTTCCTGGTGTTCACATCAAAGTGTCTCTGTATCTTCTGTTCCAGGTGGATGTTATGGAGGAGCTCATCCTCTCTGCAGCCTCCAGGTAGTTTGAAGAAGCTATTACACCTGGTTTGTTAAAGATGTGTAAGTTCAAAGAAATAAGCAAAACACCTTCAGAATCATAGGTAACATAAAAACATGTTGGCATCAATCATCACATGAAATTGGACTACTGAGGTTAAATTACTTAGATGGTCAATATATGATCCTGACTTCATACCAGCTTTGCTATACTATAGATACAGACAGTGGATCTATTTTGGCATCACTTTCATATATAAGATTGTCAGCAAATGGGAGCTTAAAAGTTTGACAGTTTATGTCAGACATACGGGTTGGGAGGACAGGACTTTTATAGATATTTACAGCTCCACGATTATTTCTGTAAAAAGGTTAAAGGCTCTAATCCAAGAGAACTGTCACCTGTAATTCATATATTTATTGATGCTTTCATCTCAGGAAACAACAAAGGTCTTATAAGCAAGCTATATCATGGCATCACATCACTGAACAAAGATACAACGGACTATGTAAAACAATGATGGGAAAAAGAACTGGACATTGAAATAACTGAAGAAATGTGGCTTCATGCTGGGGAAACACAGTCATCCTCCACCAACTCCCAAACCTGGAAAGACTTCTGCTGGAAAAACTTGATTCGCTTTTTTATGACTCCTAAACAGAAGTCTAACCAAACTGGTGCGCAGCTACCCTGCTGGAGGGAGTGGACTTATTGTTGATCATGCTCATGTCTTCTGGTCTTGTCCTTCTATCCAGCCTTTTTGGAAGGATATAGCAGCAACTATCTCAAAAATCCTGGGATTTGATGTCAATGTTACATTCCAATCCCTCTATCTCGGACACATCCCTGATGGACTACGCAGAGACAATGCCTATCTCTTAAAGATCACGCTGGCAGCAAGTAAAAAAGCTGTTACAAAATGCTGGCTTCAGAAGAACTGTCCCACTACTGGACTCTTTATTAATGTTGTTAAACATCTGCATCTTCTAGAACAGATGGCTTACTCCATTCGACTCTTAAAAGAACTGAGGGAAAAACAATGGACAAAATTGTGTGTTTATTTAACCAATAACACAGATTCATTATAAGTATGGTTTGTAACTCAATATTCCTCTTTAAATAAGGCAAATTTGCCTTGAGTCTGTTGCTGTCCCATGATCTCATGCCTGTTTGTCCTACATGTTTGTTCCTTGCTTGTTATTGTCATAACATGAAAAATTAAAAAAAATGAAAAGTAAAAAAAAAAGAAGAAAAAAAAAAGAAAGAAATATGACATCACTGTTAAAAGCATCAGACCAATCATGTTGGTAGCTGAGGCTGATCCAAATGTTTCTGCTCATCCTTCTCTTCTGTCCATCCGTCCTGATGTGGAGAAAATTCATCTGTATGAATCAAACTGAACCTGTTCATTATCATCATGAAGAATCTGTATCATCAAGTGATTGGGTGAAATGATTAAACACAATTAAACAAAATTCAAGAGATGATGTGGTGTGTTTGTACATGACATGTAGTCACTGAGCTGTCCGCTTATATTTTCTGTTTCCTCTTTTCTGTTCTACTTTTTCTTTCATTTTTATCTCTCTACATGAAAGATTTAATGTCATTCATACAACGGGTCAGTGAGCCAATCAGAAGAGAGGCCCAGCCTCTTTGTACTTTAGCACCACATGTCTGATAGGTACTTTGAACTTTTTACTTCCCTACTTTTATTTAACAGCTTTAGAAATTTAGATTTAACTGAAAGAAGACGTATGATAAGCTGCTAAAATACAACATTAAACAGTAAACTGGTGGTTCTCAGTGTGCAGTTGGAGAACCTTGTTATGTTCCAGATGTCCTTTTCTAGAGGACACTTCTAAGGCTGATCAATCTTAACTGTTTACATTTCACACACCTCAACCTGCAGAAAAGTCTTTCTGAAAGCACCACCTCCAACTTCTTTAATAAGGGTTTTGCTGCTGAACCATAAAGAATAGTCTAACTCTGATCTAATCAGAGCTACATACATGTGTTTAGTTGCAGTTCTGCTCCATCACCAGCAAACAATGACCATTCAATATTGTCCTGAAATTGAGAATACATCATTTATCATAATGGAAAATAGATCTACCAGATATCTCCCTGATAAGGCTCCCAAATCTGACTGGAATACATTTGTAAAATAAAACATCTTTAATACAATTAAAAATTCTACCTGCAATTCCTGTCATATTTCAATTGATCATTAATCCGTGCAGTGAGGTCAAGCTGCAGTGAGTCTGCAGTGAAGTCAGCATACAGTGAAGTCAGTTTTCAGTGAAGTCAAGCTGCAGTGAGTCTGCAGTGAAGTCAGTCTGCAGTGAGTCTGTAAAGAAATCAGTCTATAGTGAAGTCAGTTTGCAGTGAAATCAGATGCAGTGAGTCTGTAAAGAAATCAGTCTATAGTGAAGTCAGTTTGCAGTGAAATCAGATGCAGTGAAGTCAAACCGCAGTGAATCTGCCGTGAAGTCATTCTACAGTGAAGTCAGTTTGCAGTGAATTCAAGCTGCAGTCAGTCTGCAGTGAAGTCATTGTGCAGTGAAGTCAGTTGCAGTGAAGTCAATCTGCAGTGAGTCTGCTGTGAAGTCATTCTGCAGAGAAGTCAACTCCAGTGAAGCCAGATGCAGTGATGTCAGGCTGCAGTGAGTCTGCAGTGAAGTCATTCTGCAGTGAAGTCAGCTGCAATGAAGTCAGTTGCAGTGAAGTCAGCATGCAGTGATTCATTCTGCAATGAAGTCAGCCGCAGTGGAGTCAAGCTACAGTGAGTCTGTAAAGAAATCAATCTGCAGTGAAGTCATTCTGCAGTGAAGTCAGTCTGCAGTGAAGTCAATCTGCAGTGAGACTGCAATGAAGTCATTCTGCAGTGAAGTCAGTCTACAGTGAAGCCAGCAGGCAGTGAAGTCATTGTACAGTGAAGTCATTCTGCAGTGAAGTCAGCATGCAGTGATTCATTCTGCAATGAAGTCAACCGCAGTGAAGTCAAGCTGCAGTGAGTCAAGCTACAGTGAGTCTGTAAAGAAATCAATCTGCAGTGAAGTCAAATGCAGTGAAGTCAGTGTGCAGTGAGTGAGTCTGTAAAGAAAGTCAGCATGCAGTGATTCATTCTGCAATGAAGTCAACCGCAGTGAAGTCAAGCTGCAGTGAAGTCAAGCTACAGTGAGTCTGTAAAGAAATCAATCTGCAGTGAAGTCATTCTGCAGTGAAGTCATTCTGCAGTGAAGTCATTCTACAGTGAAGTCAGTTTGCAGTGAGTCTGCTGTGAAATAGTCTGTAGTGAAGTCATTCTGCTGTGAAGTCAGATGCAGTGAAGTTAGTTTGCAGTGGGGTCAGTCTGCAGTGAAGTTAGTTGCAGTGAAGTCAAGCTGCAGTGAGTCTGCTGTGAAGTCAGCTCCAGTGAAGCCAGATGCTGTGATGTCAGGCTGCAGTGAAGTCAGCATGCAGTGATTCATTCTGCAATGAAGTCAAGCTGCAGTGAGTCTGTAAAGAAATCAATCTGCAGTGAAGTCAGCATGCAGTGAAGTCAGATCCAGTTAAGTCACTCTGCAGTGAAGTCAAGCTGCAGTGAGTCTGTAAAGAAATCAATCTATAGTGAAGTCAGTTTGCAGTGAAATCAGATGCAGTGAAGTCAAACCGCAGTGAGACTGCCGTGAAGTCATTCTGCAGTGAGGTTTAGATACAGTGAAGTCAGTCTGCAGTGAAGTCAGTTTGAAGTGATGTCAAGATGCATTGAATCTGCAGTGAAGTCATTCTGCAGTGAAGTCAGTTTGCAGTGATGTCAAGATGCAGTGAATCTGCAGTGAAGTCATTCTGCTGTGAAGTCATTCTGCAGTGAAGTCAAGATGCAGTGAAGTTTGCAGTGGGGTCAGTCTGCAGTGAAGTAAGTCTGCAGTGAAGTCAGTTTGCAGTGATGTCAAGATGCAGTGAAGTCATTTTGCAGTAAAGTCAAGATGCAGTGATGTCAAGATGCAGTGAGTCGGCAGTGAAGTCATTCTGCAGTGAGGTCGGATGCAGTGAAGTTAGTTTGCAGCGGGGTCAGTCTGCAGTGAAGTCAGCCTACAGTGAAGTCGAGCTGCAGTGAGTCAGCAGTGAAGTCGTTCTGCCCTGAAGTCAGCATGCAGTGAAGTCAGTTGCAGTGAAGTCTTTGCAGTGAAGTCATTTGCAATTTAATTTCATTATAAAAACTTACATTCAATTCATTCAACGGAAACATTTTTTTAAGATAATACTGGTCATAGCCTACACAACTAGCACTAACTGGCAGTCTAATAGCCACAGTCTGTTGTAGCTATATCTGTTGTAATGTAGCTGTGATCTCTGCTGTGGGTTGAAGATTTCCCCTGTCCCCCACCAGGTGACATCCAGCTGGAATATGATCCTTCAAACAGCTGATCAGGTCACTCTCCATTAAGATCCTTGAATTCTGTGTAGACACGTGTGATATTATTAGGTTGTTAACACACGAGTAGTGTGTTAACAATCTAATAATATCATCATCATGTATCAGTCACAGGGGACATTTTTGCTTTTACTCTTGATACTTAAATTTCACTTTTAATATTTCTGTACTTTTACTTCAATAGGATTTTGGATGCAGGACTTTTATTCGTAACAAAGTATTTTTACTTTAACTGAAGTAAATAACCTGAGTTCCTCTGTCTCCTGAGCCCCAGCTCTGTACTGCATTGCATTCTCTCTCATCTGCCTCTCTCAAGTCAGCATTTCTGCAGACTTTGCCGGACAGAATTACCCAAAGTTCAAGTTGTGATATTAAACACAGGGTGCAATGGTTATCAGGGGACGCCCAGAAGCGTAAAAAACAACATAAAACAACATAAAACAACTTAAAATGCAAGAAATAATAAGATATAAGAAGAATGGTTAAGAAACAAGCATGAAAAGAACGAACCCTAATGTTAGCATTACAAGACAACAGACAGTATATGCTCACTGTGACTCAGAGCCAGAACTGTGGAGTTATTTGTCATGTGATGACATGATGACGACTTACAAATATACTTTCATCACATGTGACCCAACATTATTTTTTTGTTTACAAAGGGGGAGCAAAGGGAGGGAATAAAAATATACAATCAAAAGTAGGAGGTAATAGGCTGCAGATTCTTGCCCTGTTTTTACCTAAACGTCTTATTATCCAATAACAGAGTGTAAATATGTCAAATAAAAAAATTAGTAACTATGAGGTGAAAATTATAACGTCCACTATAAATAACATCCACGTATAAATGAACTTGTGTTTTAAACCGCAAACTCCCTGATGTAATCATGTAAATGAAACAAAGCTCCACATTCATCTACTCTACTCATGTTTGTTAATAATAAAAGGAAAAATGAATCTTTCCTCATCATCATCATTTATTCTTCAGTTTGAAAATAACTTTGCAGCAACAATCTCATCAAATTGTACATCACAAACTTTACAGTGCAGTACGTTCCCAGCACCGATCACATGTCGTTCATGACCAAATGAATATGTTCATATATTTCATTATCATGACAGCATC